ATTTAATCTCTCTTCACACCACCTTTGAAACTCTGGAAACACGAGCTGATTCAGCAACAACTTTAGATTCGACCGTCTAAGATGGACAGGCATCCTAGAGAGATGTATTTCTCTCAGGGGATTTAAGATTATACTAAGTATTGTTTTTATGATAAATCTGAGTATAAATAAAAAAATTTTTCATGCCATCAGTAATATGTCGGAAAGATGTTGAGGTTATATAGCGATGTATATATATAAATAAGTGGTTGTGTGTTTATGATTGATTCTAGTAGATGCTAAAAAATATATCAGCTTTGTTATTCAAAGAAAAAACTTGTGTGATGTAGGTTCGGATTAAATATAGGGTAGAGGATGGATTTTAAAGTAAGAGATAATTAAGTAATTTAGCGACATAAATAAATTTAGTCAATGTTGGACGGGTATGGTTATAGTGCTCAATTATATCAAACAATTATCATATCTGATATGTTTTTAGGTGTTTGAAATGGTCTAAACCCAGTTCAAAGCTGATCGTATTTTTAAGAATGCTTGGGTTTTATAATTTTTTTTTTTTTTTAAATATCTATTTTATTTATTGAATCTCTTTTATAAGAAGATTTACAATAAGTATTCAAATCTTAAAAAACTAAAGCAAACAAATGAACTGACAATTATAACTGCAGTTAATTGATAATAATTAAAGTTAAAGTTATTTCATGAAAAGCAAAGAATAAAGAAATAAATAAAATAAAATAAAAAATAAAAAATAAACGAAAAAGAAAAAAAAAAGTATATTAAATTGAAGTAAATTAAAGTTTAAATAAGGTTGATAATAAGTAAATGTATAAAGATAGAAAAAGGAATCAGTGCGTTGGTACATCTTTTCTGCGTAATCTTGACGAAGGCCGCGTTAGCAATAGATTCCTTGCAAGGTGGTTCGGATGAATTTCAAGTTTTTGTTTGTATTTGCATTTGATTTTAGTGAGTTCATCTTTGATTAGTGGTATTTTCAGATCTTCATGAATTTTATCACTTCTTATATACCACGGAGCCCCAGTAATTATACGAAGGATTCTGGATTGAGTACGCTGAATTAACTCAATGTTGGAGGAACATGCATTACCCCATAGTTCAGCGCCATACTTCCAAATTGGCTTAAGTAAACTATTGTAGAGTAACACTTTGTGGTTTAGCCGTAACTTGGAATTTTTATGCAATAACCAGTGAATTTTTTGCGTCTTAAGTTTTATTTGCGTTCGCTTAGCTTCTAGATGTTTACGCCAAGTTAGTCTCCTATCCAAATGAACACCCAGATACGACACGGTGTTTGATTGCGGAATGGTGATGCCGTTGAAGGTTACTGGGGGACATGTGTCCTTACGTAGGGTAAATGTTACATGTGTGCTTTTACTTTCATTTACACGAATGCGCCAGTTGGCTAACCATGTTTCAATGAGTTCGAGGTGTTCAATTAAGTCCCTAGATGCTATGAATCTATTTTGGTGAGAACTAAGGACAGCAGTGTCATCAGCAAACGTAGATGTCACAAGACGAAAGTTGCTTGGTATATCCGAAGTAAATAGGATATAAAGTATTGGACCTAGAACACTGCCTTGAGGAACTCCAGCCTTTATGTCTAGATTAGCTGTTGTATGGCTTCCAACTTTTATATGGAATTTCCTGTCCTGAAGATATGACTCTAGTATTTTGTGAGTGTAGTCAGGAGTGAGTTCCTTGATTTTATAAATAAGTCCAGCGTGCCAAACCTTGTCAAAAGCTTGTGCTATATCAAGAAATATAGCAGAGCAGAATTTTAGGGTTTTATAATAAATGAATAATTTTTATAATTATTCAAGAGACACGAGAGCCCATTTATCAATGAGTTCAAGGTTATTAAGTTGAGTGTATTAAAATTTATTGAGAATTCCGTAATAATATTTCAGTGTTTGAGTAAACCATACAAATTAAGAGAAGATAAAGAACAATCTGATAACATGTACAAGTCGTATTTAATATGCATACATATCATATAATATCATATATGTATGATCACAATTGTTGGCATAACTGTAGGTCAGAGAATACAGAGAAAAATGTCATATATTGAAGTTTTCACTCTCCAGTGCTTGCCAAAACGCATCTCTTCATTTCAGATTTTTCTCAAGCGTCTATCTGATATCCTCAATGTGTTCAGTGAAGACAATATCTATTAAAAAAAATAGATAGTTCCTCGTCCAGAATATTATAATATAGTTCATCGCACTTCTTGGTTCCGCCTGTGAAT